GGACGCCCCCCCCGCCCCGCCCAGCCGCTGCCCAGGGCCAGCAGCAGGACCGGTTCGAACCCCGCCCTGCTGGGCACAGAGGGAGCAGTCACAGCAGCTGGCGTCTCCAGGGCTGCGAGCTGGGACAGCACAGACACCAGAGACAGCGAGGGCAGGCCCAGGCAGGCTGGAGGGGAGGGGGGACAGAACTCAGCCTGAAGCGGAGGGCACAGAAGGAGGGAGGCAGGAGAGACAACAGGGGCCTATTTAGTGTTTTCAAGCTGCTTAGTGTTACTGTGAGAGACAATCCCTCCTCCCAGCCCCTCCTTAGAGGGGCAGGAGGAGAAGCCCATAAAGGCAGCAGGGTCCCTCCCTCAGCAGCATGGGCTCCAGCGGTAAGCTGGGTGTGAGCTCTGGGCAAGCAGGAAGGGGGCTCAGAAGCTGAGCTTCACCCCTCACACACTCCCCGTTCTTCCCCACAGGGGGAGGGTTCAGTAGGACCCCTGCCCCCAAGCCAGGATGCTCCAAGCTGGCAGGGCAGAGCCGGGCTGAGGCCTTTTTCTTCACGCAGTTTAAAGGCTAGAACCCACCTAGCACTTCCCCTCCCACACACACACTGGAGCAGATGGTGGCTCTATTGGCTCTCCTGGGGCACGCCCCCCCGGGGAGAGACACATGCTCCCTCTTGTCCGGGTGCACCACGGACACGGGCTCTCCTGGGCGGCTGACCCCGCTCTCTGCTTCCCCCAAAACACCCCAAGAAAGACAATGACAAAGGAGATGCTCCATTGGCTTATTGTACAAACTGGAGGCGCCCGGGAAGGGGCTGCATGTACCTAGTTCAAGGGCCAGGAGAAAAACGTAAAGAGGGGCTGCTCAGCCCTCATGGCTTGTTCCCTGCCACCCCCGTCCACGGATCCAGCACCCGTCCAGGGTGACCACAGTCGCATTCTCCCCACCCCCGCCCAGTGGCAGGACACTAGTGTTGAGTTACAAATTGGAATGCAAGAGAAGGGCAGGGCTTGCCCGCTGTGGGGGTGTGTCAGGAGGGCGAGAAGGAGGGGGAAGGGCTGGGGGTGGGGGGACCCCTCTGAGGTAGCGGGACCAGCACTTCCACGTAGTTGAGCGGGAAGAACCCGGACTGGCCGTTGATCATGCCCTCGTACCAGTTTTCGTCAATCTGATTGGTCAGCGTGATGATGTCGCCCTCCCTAAAGCCCAGCTCACCATCGTTTTCGGGCTCAAAGTCGTAGAGTGCCTTGCAGCAGGGCTGGTCCAGGTGGGCTGAAAGAGACAAGCAGAGCCCAGGTGAGCCCGGCCCGGGAACGCTCGTACAGAGCAGGCCTCGCTGTGCCGCAGCACCCCAACCCCACGGCAAGCTGGTCCCCCCGCTCGTCTTTGCCGGGATTCCGGTTCAGGGCAGCCCCGAGCGTTATGGCCCTGCTGTTCCCTCCTACACGTTTGCAGTAAGAAGCCGCAGCTGTGGGACTCCTGGCCTCCCTGGGGCTATTCCACCATGCAGCGGGGACTTTTCCTCCTGCTCTACCACACAGCTCACTGAGTTACTCCTCCCCCTGGCAGGGAGGAACACCCAGCTACAATCGCACCAACCTCCCTGGGCCTGCTTGTCCTCTGCCTTCCCAGTCTAGGCAGCCCTCCAGCTCCCATCCCTGGTGGCTGCTCTTGTCCCCACTACCTCCAGTGACACACCAGCCAGAAAGAGCCCCGCTGGGAACAGGAGAGAGGTGAGGCAGCTCTCTTTGGCCCGCCGTGAGTGTTATTACTGTGGCGCAGGGCAGCCAAGGGTCAGTAAATTGGTTAGTCGGTGATGGGTTAGACTCAATACTGGATGGTAACAGAGAACACAGGTGCCTAGGGCCCAGATAGCCAGGGTGGACGAGCAATTCCCACTGCTGCAATTACTCAGGGCTCACCTGGAGCCACCTCCCAGGGGCCTGATTGGCCGAATGTGCTGAGCACACGCCCCTTTAAGTGCACCACATTGGGCACCTAAACGTCATTAGTCTTCAAATATTGGGCCATGAAGCCAGATCATGGAGCAGCTTCTGTGATTTGCTCACCCTCCCCTTGTCCCACAGACCAGTTTCCCACCCCTCATCTTCAGGTGAATTTTAGTGCCCTGGTGGAAGAGCTCCGGCCGGGATGGCTGTAGTTAGACCGTCCCTACACCCGGTGCTGCCCAGCCAGAGGTTCTCCAGAGGGGAGCCGAGTCTCAGCAAGTCCTTGGTCTCTGTGCTGAGGATACCGCCAGACACGGAGACGGGAGGGGAAGTTGCAAACGACCACTTTCAAATTCAGGTGAAATGTGCCCCCAACACCACCCTAGTCAATTCCCAGAGCCTCTTCCTCCCCACACTTCTGCTGTGGCAAACACATCCCAGGGCAGTTTGGACTGGGGGGGACAAGCCTCACTGCAGCCCCCCCTTGGGACTAGCCTCTCAGAGGGGCTTGAGATTTGTGCAGCATTTTCGAGCCAGGCTACAAAAGCAGCAGATGGGGAAACTGAGGCACGGGTGCCGTGCCCAGGGCCCCAGCAGTTTCTTTGGCAGAGCTGGGAGTAGAGCCCAGATCCCCTGATCTGGACCAATGAGAAGGTTTTCAGGGTCTGCGTCTCAAGGGCATTTGCCTCATCACCTGGAGTCCAACTGTCCAGGAGCAGGCCGAGCGGGATGCTAAGTAACTATCCAGCACTGTTGTCCCTGCTCCCGAGTGCATTACAAGGGCTCTGGTCACTCAGCAAGTGGAATCCGCAAGAGGGGAACCCAACAACTGCAAAACTAAGGCCGGCTGCAATCCCCATCTACCCACTCGATGGGAGCTGGAACGGCTATTCAACCCCAGAAGCCAGGAGCAACCCGACACTGGCAGAGGCGGCAGGAAAACACCCTAAGCAGCAGGTTTATTTTTCAGAAGAGCCTTTCCAAATTAGCTCTGCATTTCCAAGGTGCAAAGGCTTCCCGCCAACCACCACCGGGGAAACAGCTCAGCCCCACACGGCAGCGCACAGCCTGGGCCAAGCCACGCAACACAGCCCCTTCCCGAGTGCAAGGACCCTGACCTCTCCTCCCCACCACGGGGACTCTGAATGGACACCCCTCATGCACGGCTACTCCCCGTCCGGGTGTCCACACTGGGCCACTACCAGTTTTCTTCCAGGAGCCCAGCCCTTGCAAAAGCAGACACGCTCCAGCCCGCTCCCCTGGCCTGTCTGAACTGTGCACCCAAGTGGAAGAACCACTCATCCCCTCTAGACCCAGGAACCTTCCCCTGGCTTTCTCCTGCGCAACAGCACCACCTGCTGCCCGGGAAAGTTCCTGCAGGCACCCCTCAGCAGACCTACCCCAGTTCTCCCACAGCTCCCTTCTCCTACAAACTTCCATAGCAGGCCCCCAGTGCGCCCTGCTTTCTAACTGGCCGCTGGCTGTGTTGGCTTGACAGTGACAGCCCCAGGAGTGAAGGAGGACCATGTGAAACAGTAACTTCCCAACACAGGCATGTAAGATTGCCTTTCTGGCCAGAAACAATTTTAATGGACAAAATGGGGCGGGTGTGTTGGAAGAGGGCAGAGAGGCATCAAAACGTTTCCTTCCACTGCATCCACGTGTGTGTGTGGGGGGGGGGGGGGGGGGAAGACGGACGACGGGACATGACTCCAGGCATTTTGTCCATAAAAAAGAAATAGACAAGGGCCCAACTTTCCTTCCATTACAACCCAAGTCAACCAGCTGGGACAGGAATCAGCAAGGGCAGAATTAGAGCAAAGATTTTTGATAGACTAAAACCAGAACAAGTTATTTGGTTGACGTGTTAGTGGCTCCAAAAAGACAGCTTGTGTGAGAGCAGAGGTGGAAAGAGAGAGAGAGCGAGAGAGAGAGGGAGGAAGGGAGATCACACTGCATGCAGTGTGGGGCGGGAACTCACAAATACTCCTGCTGGGGGTCCGGGATGGCTTGTCGGATCGAAAAGAGGAAGAAGCTGCTTCCAAATAAAGAGAGACATGCTTAAAACCAATCGCAAAAATAATCCCTTGGTATAGCCCAGAAGGGAGCGGTCTGTTAGTTGGGAGGGATACGGTGCCCTATGTCCTGAGCTAGGTCAGTTACAGGGCCGGGCCCAGAGCGGGGCTGGAGTGTGCCGGGGGCAGGAGGGAAGGTTGACTGGAGTGTGCCGGGGGCAGGAGGGGAGGATGAAATGGGTTTTCCTAGCCGCCGCTCACAGACCAAATTAGACGAAATCACAGACCACGGAGTGAGATGGCCACTCCACTGCTCTCCAGAGTCGCACAAAGAGGGGCAGCCAGCACCGGCTGAAACCAGACCCACTCTCCCCAGTGCCAAAGCCAAGAACGGGGAGGACAAGGGGGCCACAAGAGCCCCTGCCCGTAAACGTTTCTGCCACCTCCTGGGCAGCCTGTGGCCTAGGAACATTCTCGGCTCCTCCAAGAGTGAATCCCTCCATCCCCAAGAGGGTGCCTGCCGGTGGCTACAAAGCACCAGCGACAGCACACCTGGGACATCTTTACCTGAGACTTTGGGGGCGGGGTTGCAAGAGAAGCCGCCGTTGGACTGGTCGGTGTCTCCGAAGTCGTACGTCTCTCTGGGCTTAGGTTTGTACTCCCGCTTGGGGCGCGAGGAGGCCTCCTTCATTCTGAAGAGGCAACAGAGACAGGGTGAAGTTGGAGCGAGGCTGCGTAGAGCGAGAGTCGAGCAGCAGCAGCAGCAAACTCATCCAGCTCCCCTGGCAGGCTTTCCACGGGGAAAGCTGCAGTCAGGGCCCGGCACTATCACTCTGTGGCCAGCAGGGGGCGCTGCTGCAGCAGTTTTCATACCCCAACTGTCCCGGATGCTCCCGACTCCCGCCTACATTCATTCAAACATGGTGCTCAGGCGTGAAGGGGGAATTCAGCACAGGGCGGCGTTTCCTTTTCCAGGGGGAGCTTGGCCATGCAGCCCCTCCACTGCTCAGACACCAGGATGGCGCCACCCACCCAGAGCAATCGGACAGTCATTGCTACGGGGAACAGTCTCAAGAACAAACTAGAATCCACCAAGCCTGCTGTGTCTCTAGGGCGGGAGCAGGCGAGGCAGCTGGGAGTGAGAACGCAAGTCACTGCACTTGCATAGCAATTCCATGGGGCTCAGCTGTAGGCCCTTACCCAGAGAGGGGAGCCGGTGGAGTTCAGGCATTGTTCTCATTACCCTCCGGGGCAGGATTTCTGGGGAACGTGGCTAGGGTGAGATACCCTAGCAGCAGCTCATGCAAGCCCCTAACTCTTAGCTAGTGCTTTCCATCAGCAGATCTCCAAGAGCTTTGCAAAGAAGGTCAGTATCGCTGCCCCCATGTTACAGATGGGGAAACTGAAGCATGGGGGGGAGGCGACTTGCCCAAGTTAACGCAGTATGTTGGCAGAAGAGCCTGGAATGGAAATGAGGTCATGTCCTGGGCCCTAACCACTACACCACTCTGCCTACCAGCAGGGCAGAGCTTCATGTATTTGGATCTTTCACTCTCTCCCTGAATCAGCAAAGCGGAGCAGCCCACCACATATGCCTGGGAATCCCAGAATATCTGAACAGCCTACAGGGACAGACTCTTTCACCACCTCACTTAAAGAGAAGGTGCATGTGACGACGTGACTGAGTGTCCCTCGTGTTACACGGTGAAGGGAAGAAACTGGTAAGGGAGGGGTGGGGTTTGCAGAACCGGCCACAGCAAAGACCGTACAGCCCAGCCAGCGCAGTCCCTTGGGGAACGCATTTCCTCCTGCTCCTCCACACCCCGCACTAATCTGTATTCCATTTGCCAGACAGTGCTCCAGGGTTCCATCTGCACCATTCCAGGGGACATATGGAAATCATATGTTAGCGTCAGCTTAGCAGGATACACGAACGTACACAGAGGCTAGAGCAAGAGTTTGCTGAAAACCAAAGAATCTCTCAAGCAGACGTCTCGAGCCATCATCTCCACTTTGCGAGACTGTGCCTTCTTGTAGTGGCTGTCACCACGTTAGGTCTAGGTACCCGCATTCTTCCCTGCTCCCTTCCTCTGCCTGGTTGCGTCCCATTTTTAAATGGGTCACAAGCTGCTCAGGACAGAGACCTTGTGCAAGAGTGGGGGCCAATGCAGATTAGGGCCTTTGAATGTTACCGTAATAAACGAGACACGGAGCCAGGCATTCCAATGACAAAGAAAGCCAGAGGGAGCCAGTTTCAAAGGTAATAGAATAATGCTAGCATACCTTCTCGATAACGGTAGAGGAGGGTCTACTGCAGGGGTGGGGAACCTCTTGCACAAGGTTAGCCCCTGGCAGGTCGCCAGGTGCTTTGTTTACCTGCGTGTCTGCAAGCGTGCACCCCTGAAGCTCCCAGTGGCTGTAGTTTGCCATTTCCAGTCAATGGGAGCTGCGGGAAGCAGTGGTCCGGCTCTAGGCCTGCGGACACTCAGGTAAACGAAGTGTCTGGCAACCTGCCAGTGGCTCACCCTGATGAACGGTGCACGGCCCGTGGGCCTGAAGTTCCCCACCCCGCTCTACTAAGTTGGAACAATCGAAATCAGAAATGCCAACAGCATTCCGGTTACGATTCCGACATCCAACACCAGGGGCCTGTTAAGGAGCTGAAATCCTTTACGTTAACACGGGATTGTATATGCTCTGCCCTGCTCCCCCAAAGGAATTGACTTGCATCTTTCATTTCATTGGGAGTGTTTATGTTTTGATCCAGAGACTGCTGAAAGCAGCAGGAAATGATTTATGCAGAGAGGGACCGTCTGTAGAAAACGGATCATGCAGACAATTGCCACGAAAGCCCAAGAGACTCAGCGATAGAGACCCTCGAAGGCTCCTAATGCCAGGGAACAACCCACAGAGGAAGGAGCCAGATATTTACTGACCCCACGTTCCCCAGTTACAGCTTCCACCTCCCGCCCAGGGTCTGCAGCAGCCCTAAGAAGCCTCACCTGCCCTTGAGTTTGTCCGTGAGCTCATCCAGGATTTGCACCGCTTGTCTGTGGTAATCGAGTTGGGCGTCCACCAAGGCTGAGAGCTGGCTCACTTGCTCAATCTGCAAGGGTCAAACTGCGGTGAGCGGCTTTCACGCACTCCCGCAGGAGGCTTCTATTGCTCCGCCGGGGGCTCGAGCACATCGGGAAACGTGCAAAAGGCAGCTTGATGGGAGAAACTGTAGATTTACGGACATACGGACAGGAACGTTCAACCATTCACTGAGGCCGAGAGCCTGGCACCTCGGGGGACGTGGGTGTAGCTGAACGAGCCGCGTCAGCCGCAGCCTGACCAAACACAGGTACGTGGAAGAGTCTCCACACGGCCTCGTTCGTGCAACGATCGGTCTCAGCCCCGGCCTGCAGCAGCAGGGAGGGGCAATAGGGTCAGCACCGCAGGGCATTTGCCAAGCTGGTTGTGGGGGGCCCAAAATGAAAATACCAGCGCGTGGTGCAGGGTCCCAACAGGGCCCATCGGCAGAGGCATGACAGGAGACGTGCTATCATTGTTTGTGTGCATTAGAGCAGCGGAGACACTCCCCCAATAAAAGCACATAGGCTGCCCCCCCATCCACTGCCCCAGAGGCACGTCCAGGAAGGCAGACGCTCGGGCAGCACCCCAGCGGCGCACAAACGAGCTAAGGGGGAAGGGAGCAGCCATCTCCAGGGGACACTCACGTCAGTCTCCAGGAGGTTGTGCATACTAGTCTCTGCTACTTCCTTGGACTCCTCAAATTTCTCCATGGCCTGTCGGAGCTCCTCATCTGGGATCTTCCCCTGACGCTTCTTCTTGTAATCGAAGTCCAGACGCCTGCCCTCCAGCTTCTTCAGATGATGCTTGGGAGAGAAGGGCGGCATGTGGTTAAAGCCCAAGCTTTTCCCGCCGGAAGCGCTGCTTTGGCAACTGGCCCAGAGAGCAAGGGTGGAGATGTGCAATGGACAAAAAGCCCCCCAGCTTCCCAGAGTGGGCGATTGCTGCCATCGCCTTCTGACAGGCTCCCCACATGCTACAGGCCCCTGCCGCGGCGCTCCACAGAGGTGCGGCAGGTCAGGGTTCAAGAGCAGCCTGGGGATGAGGGAACTACTTGAACCCAGTGCAGCAGGGGATTTACGATGGCTGTGACTATTGTTGCTTTTTTGTTGTTTGGAAACAGCCAGAGAGAAGCTGGCGAGAAGGTACATTTCCCCCACCCCCACCCTGTTCATAAGCTGGAGGGGAACCAAACTGCTGCAGTTCAGCTGGGGCTGCCCACCATCAATCACTCTAAAAGGAGAACTGCCCAGCTGGCCCCTTGTCTCTGGTTCTCTGCGGCAGAGCTCAGAGCCTTTAGAGGCAACACTTTGGTTGTAAGCCCTGTGCGGGTCACAGCTCTGCAGAGACAGAAAGCAGGCAGGGATCATGTCTGTCTTAATGTGTCTGTACAGCGCTGGAGGTTGTTTGTGGGTGCTCAGTAAATCTACGTTAGCTAGCTAGGTGCATGTATGTGTGTGTGGGGGTGTCACACTGAGAACCGCTTCTCAGGAGATTTTCACTGGCTTGAGAGAGGTTTCAACGGCTCCCTTTACAAAACCTTGCAATGTTCAAGAGCTTGGTCTTTTGCGAGTGCGAGGAAGGAGCTGGCAAGCTGTGTGCAGACGTCCTCAGCGTCTGAGAGAGCCTCTCTGAGGGATGTTTCTGTATTGCTCAAAGGGAGCAAGAAGGAAAGTGACAAACAGCCCTGGATCTACCTTTCAGGATGTTGGGAGGCTGGAACTGAAAGCTGATCAATGGCTTATAAGATACACGCAAGGCGATGTACCAGTTTGTCAGACTCGGGGATACAGAAAAAAAGAATCCAAGTACCAGCAGCTACAGAACGTAAGTCGGGAGAGCTACAGTACATTATGAAGGGAGCTTATAGCGTGAGTGGATCAGCTTGGAAACTGTTCCAAGAAACACCCCATGTCATGAGCTGGTCAAAGAACTTAGTGGATGTTAAATAAACAAGAAGAAAATGCCAGCAGAGCCAAGAAAAACATGGAGAAAGCCTGCAAGCTGCAGGGTAACCTAAACAGATGCTGTGCAAGTCTGCTTTGGCTTCTGGAGTGATACCGGATAGGACAGCAGGTGCTAAAAACCTAAAGAGGCCAGAGTCTGGAAGAGAGAGGGGGAGAGAGGAAAATCTTCCGAGTTACCTGGATCTCTTTCAGGTCTTTGTCGCACAGGTTCTGGAGAGGATCGATAAAGTTCTGTTTGACTTCGATATCCAGCGAGTCCTTCACTTCAGCCAATCGTTTCATAGCTTCACCAGCGTCAAGAAGCGCGTCACCTTCATGCAAGAGAAGAAGAGAGAGGGTGATAGAGAAAGAGCCAACCAGTAACAGCCAGATTCCGTGGCAGCTGCAAGCAGAACCATTCTGCCAAGATACTGAGTGAGCATGAGCCCCAATCATGTGTCAAAACACCCAAAGGTTCTCATTTGGATCCACTGAAGCAGCATGACAGGGAGTGTGGCCTAGTAGTGAGAGCAAGAGCTGAGGCACTGAGACTCCTAGCTTCAATTTCCAGTTCCACCACAGATTGCGTGACCTCAGGAAACTCCTTTCACTTCTCTGTGCCTCTGATTCCTCACCTGAACGATACGGAAAATCCCTACCTATTTTACAGGGGTGACACACATCATGAAGGAATGTCTATACACAATGGTTGGAATTTTCTGACGCCAGGCGCTATCGAAGGGGGAAATGTTAGTGGCCCCAGTCCAGTCTCAGCATTATGATCTGTTTTAAAAATAAAATTTCCCCGGATGTTGGCAGCAACTCAAGGTATTTTTCTTCATTCATGCTGAGACAGTTAATGCTAATCTATGACCGTTCGGTTCAATTTATGCTCCAAAGTAAAGGTCTTATAAAATGGTAGGACAAAACCCTTCTAGTTTCAGTTTTTCCCATGGCCCTTTCCCAGCCAGCATGTGTAACGTCTGGCAAGCTACTCATGTAAGATGAACATAAATGCTTCTGTGATTGTTTTAAAATCCCAATGGAAGAAGTTAGTATCTCCTTCAGTGTTTGCAACCCAAACACTGTGGCTCTGGGCAGGAGAATGTGAAAGTGAAATTTACTATACGTGAAGTGAATCTATTTTCAATATATTTGCATTGCCCCAACTAAAAAAAAAACCAAAAAACCAATGGTGCAGAACAAGCCCATTTTTAAAAGATTTCTTTCAGGGT